ATGCATACTATTAGCATATTCATCACGCCTTCTAGAGGTTAAAGTTCCTTAGTACTCGCTGAAAAATTCGATGTTTATACATATGTTCAATTTAAAGCAACGGTGATTTCTCCGAGTATCTTCTTATGTCTAGCCGCTCCGAGGTGTTATTGATATTATTTATTGAATATCAGCGAATCTTATAACAATACAGTTGATAATACAGCATGAATATTACAGCAGACGTGGTGGCTTAGTTTCGGCAAGGTTCGCCATTTTCAGAGCCTGGAAAGATCAAATTAAATTTGCAAATTATCAAATCAAAGGCCTTCATAACCCTATCAAAAAATGTATGCAATAAATTTTTGGGTCGCAAAGGAAAAACTTCATTTCAAAAACACTCACCGCTTAGATGTTTTAGGTCTTTCAATTAAACATTGAAGACCTGCCACTTGGAGTCTGTGCTAAAGTGAGACTGTGCCTGGCTCAGGCCGGGAATATTAGTCTGCGGTATGGTGCTAGGTCACGCGTTATTACGAGGCATTCCTCTTTGCGGTTCATTTTTGGGCCGTTGCTATGTATCCAAAAGGCTTCTAAAGTTTTACGCGTAGATGTTTTTGACTCCTGTGCAGGGACCGTGAATTTAACATCAAAATCTGCTCCTTTATGCTTCTGCTCCTTATGCGTTACTAGTGGGGTTTTTGGGTCGGAGTTACGTTTCCCATCTAGGTGCTCTTCTACGCGGATGCAGAGTGGTCTACCCGTTTTGCCAAAATATTCATCCCCGCATGCGTCGTACGAGAATAGGTAAATTGTACCCGACCTCATGCAGTCGCCGTCTCTGCCGCTTGGGCAAACTTTATAGTCGTTGGTTCCGCTAAGACGATCATACAGTCGGTTGCGGACTAATTGGCGTTTTAGTGTTTTTGGTGGTATCTCGACTACTGCCACCGAATTATCTAAACCTGCTCTTCTTAAGCAGCGTTTGATGGCTGCACTTACTTCGTTGGAAATAAAAGACAGGATGAATGGGACTTTCGCTAGACCTTCCGTATGGAACGCCGAATTTTCTCTAAATTTAGCCTGAGAAGCTTTGTCGTCTTGTAGCCATTAGAGATGGCTATTTTTCGCGCAAGCTCAGGGACTCTACCTTGGTTCTTTTCCTGCGCACGCATTAGCAGCTGTGCGAAACATGTTTTTATAAGTGCGCATTTTGTGTGCGAGGGATGAGCAAATAGGTAGTGAACCAGGATGTTTTTGTTGCTTGGTTTGCGATGCCACATTGTGTTGTAGGCGTTTTTAGAGAGGTTAACTTGAACGTTTAAAAATAAAAGCCAATTTGCCTTAGGTTTCTCACGGGTGAACGTTATTTACTCTGACTGAGTATTTAACAACTCAATGCATTTGCCCATCTCCTCTTGCGTTGAGCAGACGACAAACAATCGTCTTTGTACCCACAGTAGAGTAACGGCCAGAGATCGAATATTAATGCCTCTACTTTAGACATGAAAGCGATAGCAAGGGTCGGAGAGAGCTAGTTGTTGTCCCATTGCCAGCCCTCTGATCTGCGTAAAATAATTCCCAGACCATCTAAAGAAAGAGCAGCTTAGGCACTCTTTCAAGAAAGCCATGACCTGCCGTGACCTGCCGAATGGAGAAGCCATACATGTTCGTAGTTTTTTCGTGCTCCGTTAGAAGCTCGCATATGACTTGCATTGCGGACTCAATCGACACGTTTGTATAAATAGCGGTTGCGTCGAACGATCATCACGAACGCGTTGTTGGGAGACGCGCTACGTAGACGATACAAGAACATTTGGGTATTGGTAATGGGCTGGAATGTAAATTAGTAGTTGGATTAGTATTGTTCAAAAACCACGTTATTCTATCCGTTGGCCCGTCTACACAGCTGATGATGGGTCTGACTTTGAATTTCGATGGATCAGTAGACGCAAGATCATCTGTACATGCCAACTTATGAGTCTTATTAAGTAAGTAGAAGACGGGGCATGATGGTGGACTAAGTTTTAGTTGAGAGATAACGGAAGATTTTAAACCAGCCGAACTTCTATCTATACCTGTTCACTATTCAACTTTCGATATTGTTTTTGAAATTCCTTATTGGATGATGGACGATAGAGTGTAGGGCCTCTAGGTGTTTCTTCGTTATCTCAACATCCAACTACTGGGGAATTACTACGAACTCTCCTCCCTTACCACTAACTGATAGTTGAATGGTTTTGGACTTTGTTAGCTCCCGTATCTGTTGTATACCGTTTTTCTGCGTTGATGTTAGGTTGGAGCTAAACTTTTTACGCGATAGTGATTAAGAATTCTAAGAGTTTCGTCCAAAAATATGCGAAAATTGATATCCACTTCCTATTAGGGCCTTGTTGTCTAAAGAACGCTCGAGGAAAAGGCGGTATAGGCAATGCCCCTACATTTTCCTGCTGTTCGTGCCTGTTGGGTGGTTCTAGTCTAGCTTTAAAGCGGAGCCGATCTTGAAGGTCTTACAAATTGCACGCGATACTACACAGGGTTTCCTTAGAAATGGATTGCGCTGGTGAGAAACTTGGGCCCATCTAGGAGCGAGCTCGCACTATTGGGGAGAGTCATGCCTCCTAACACGGTGACCCTCGATGTTTCCTGCACATTATTGATGTCAGTTGGACTCTTAGGGCTTTCGTTAACGGTGTTATAGTATTCTGTTGAAGTTTGCTTATGCGAATTGCTTGAAAGTTTTTTAAATTTTCTGCATAAGGTTTGATAATTTTGATGATTTGCGAATCAGTTTGACCTTTCCAGGCACTGAAGATAGCGAGACTTACCGAAACTAAGCCACCACGACTGTTGTAATATTCATACTGCATTATCAACTGTATTGTTATATTCTTCGTTGATATTCAACAAATAATATCAATAACACCTCGGAGCGGCTAAACAGAAGAAGATACTCATTTATTTGAACTGTGCCGAGGTTAATAGATAGTCGGTCCTGGAATAATTTTTTTTCAAAACAAAAGCCATCATCATCCCCAATCTTCTGCCGACGATCTGCAACCTTCTGGATTCGCTCGAAATATCATTCCTTGAGCTTTAAATCAAAAACTCCTGGCATGCCTCTTCAACTTGATCAGATATTTCGAATCGGCGTCCACGCAAGAAATGTTCCGTTGAACAGAAACGAGACCTCATAATTGGACGGCGCAGCATCTGGAGTGTAGGCTGGAAAAAATCTACCGTGGAAGCAATAACAGGCATTATTGGTCGCTAATATACCTGATTAAAAAAAGGAATATAAGAAGGTCAGACATCTTATGGGATTTTCCTGAAGGTCACAGACTAGTGAGAAACTCCACATAATGATTCTGATCTGTTCAATCAACACACTGCAGACCATGAGCAACGTTTCGATGACGGCAAATTTCATTCAGGTAGTGTAACTTTGGCGTCGCTTCTCTCCGCGAAACTGTACTAGCGCAGACCGCAATGTAAATAAGGAAAATTATTGAGTAAAGTGAAGTTCTGGGAGAACATTATCATCATGAATCGATAGATTATAATTAAAGAGGGTTTTCAAAATATAATTTTGATCTTGCGATTGGAAAGAGAGTGTTGGGGCACCCAATAAGCATGAGATAACTCCCATGCATATCATGGGAATATTACAATTTCTTAGGCAGGATTTCTTCACTAAAAACCAGAATATCATTCTTCGCTATTTCCACTTTATTACAGCTTCCGCCATGTGTAATGACACAATCGCAGTTCGTGTTTTATTGCATCATTATTGGACCGAAGAGTCTTTCACATCGAATTGCAGTCGATGAAATCAGCGATGTTGAAGGTGAAGGCACAACAAGCAAATCCGAAATCCGACTTTGGCCTTTTCCGATCAATGAAATACTTTTTGGAGGGTCTCCGATCTGAATTGTTTGATAAAGTTGAAAAAGCACGTCAAGAGTTCTTTGATTCGCAGTCGAAGAAATGATACTTCGACCAAATCAGAAACATGACGGACCGATGCCAGAAAGTCTTGGAAAACGATGGCCTTTATTTTCAAAAGTAGTTATCATTGTTTTATTCGAAAATTTCTACGCAAATTTCCAGTGTTTTACAAGTGCCTCAAAACTTATTTTGCAACCTATCAAAAAGAACGTTTATATTTGAAAAATTTATTATGTTTTAACGATATAACGACATCGCCATAAAAGGAAGCATATTTCCGACTAGTATATAATAATTGTTTCTGTTTTTAGTCAATTTTCTTGTAGTCATTCGATGGCTTAACTAATGTCAATTTTCATACCAATCGCGGTTTCTGGTATGACCTTCATACTACGTATTAGAAAACAATATAAGGTTATAGATTGCAATCGCAGTCCAATTTTCAACTTCAAAGCGGAATTTTTGGTTTCACATAGTGAGATTTCAGATAGGATCAGCACAGATTATTAGTGAAGAGACACCTGAAAACGTGCTTTTACGCGAAAACCCCCAGTTTTTTTGAAAATTGCACTATTCCTCATAAACTGAATGAAATTCTGTAGCATTGGGTGGTTTGTGTTCGTGTTTACTTTCCTTTTTTTTACTCAGCAGCGCTTTTTCATAAGCCTACTAGTATTTGTTCAATAGCTCCAAAACTGGGAAATCCAGTACTGCAACTGATTTGTGAGGATACATCCACGGTATTTTTGTTAAACAAAAAAAAAGATACCCATTGATGTAGAGCAATGTGCAAAACTTTCGCGCCAGGCGGGACTAGAACCCGCACCTCATTCTTTCGGGAATGCGTGCTCTATTCGTTAACTACTGACGCCCGTTTTACACATCGCTCTTTTCTACGCTTCAGCACATCAACGCATTGAAAATAAAAACGAATATCATTTGATCTTTAATACCCAATATCTTCAGCGTGACTGGGTTCAATGTCGAGATCGACTACCCTGGCCAGGCCGTTGACGGCTGGCGGCTGGCAGATAGATACGCTCAAGCGTAGAAAAGAGCGATGTGTAAAACGGGCGGCAATAGTGTAACGGATAGAACACGCATTCCCGGAAAGAATGAGGTGCGGGTTCTAGTCCCGCCTGGCGCGAAAGTTTTGCAGATTGCTCTACATCAATGGGTATATATTTGAAACATCATACCACCGCTAAAAAAGCGGTTAAATAAAAACGAATATAAAAAAAAGACAAGCCTATGCTCATGAGCGCTTGCAGCGCACTGAATCCTTAACACACAAAGTTGATGATGGTTCGACACCGTGCTCATGGCTCATCAAGTCTTCCATCCCTCTGTGGTCAATGATTCAGCATCAAGCTTGCCTCAGAGGATAGCAGCACTGACTCGATACATCGGTAGGCTAATGCTAGTCATTGTAAAGCCAGATATGCATTCAATCACCTTAGGCGTAACTGGAAATGGAAGACGAACGCATGGCTCCAATCTCAGGGATTGTTTAACGCCGAAAGTTTTATCCTCTATTTTCTTTTTTTTCTTTGATAGAAGGAAGTTTATGTATTGTACAAAACCTCACTTCTCATTACGAATTGTGCGGAATGCAGCAGCATCTGTGGGATAATGTAAGTGAAGCACGTGAAATGAAAGATTGCAGCGATCAAAATCTCTCATATCAGAACATAAGTGGCTATATGGAAAGTTATCACTCATAATACAATAGAATGAAGACCCCTCGACCTGTATAGAAATATTAACTCCTAAACTATCTCAATGATCGAAAAATTCTTGAGAGTAGTTATAGAAGTAGATATGCATTGCATTCCGTTTTTGGTATTTCTCAACCAGATATAGCCTTATTGAGGTTTTTCCATTCTAATTCTATCCCTCAAGTGATGAGAAAAACCTTCTAAGTACGAAAGAAGTTTGCATCATTACGAAACTGCTGCACTGACGAGATTACGTGCTCCAGTTGCAGACTCGAGCGCAAGCAATGGCTCGACGCTGCCTGCTTATCAGCGGTGGTCCCCAAAGGGTTTAACGTTTTATAATATAGGTAACCCTTTGAGGATCAGCGTTGATAAACAGGCTGCGTCGTGCCGTCACTTGAGAGGCGGCTCCGCATGTCTGTGCATGCGTGTCTAGTTGTTTGATTGCTTTCCCACGGGATGTGACGTCGCTATCTCAGTAGCAGTGTGAGATTCAACGTCGCACGGTGAACCCAAAATGACTCTCATGGACCTCAAAGGGCCAACATATTAGTAATTTTGCTTGCCACTTGAAACGTTAGTGCTCTCTCTTCTAAAATGCAGATCATACAAATAATACTGATTCAAATTTTGCTGTTCTCTTCTCAAAAATTCAATATGTATCCAATTAACTGTATATTTACGATGAAATTGAATAAAACGGTCATGTTACAAAGAGATTCAACAACGAATAAATGGAGAGGACGATTGAGTAGATTCCAAGAAGGCGCAAGCATCCGTTGTGGAAGTAATTTACAATTATAGTGAACCAATCTGTAGCTTACCAGAATGAGCGACTCCAGTGGCTTTTAAGAAAATTTGACTCAGAACTGGATCTTTTTCTGCATATATCACCTACTTGACTGTCGGGAGTAAAGCGAATGAGTAGTCTGCAAACACTTTGTCACTTTATTGATGCGTCTTCACAATGTTTTTTCACTGTGCGAATCCCATTACTTCTGGCATTCAACTCGTTTTTTCCTTTTCTTGGACGTCGTGGAATACTGGATAAGCAGGTCCTGTTGCAATTTCGAGGACAGCGCGGCTGTGACGTCACAGGGCTTTTGTTGTTGACTGCCGGAAAGTGTGTTAGGGAGGGAGGAGGTTTCTTAAGCTCGCGCGCGCCGCGAGGAGCATCACACCCACGCGACCACGACGCCCCGTTTGCGAATATGGTCCTCAAATATGTACGTATAAAAAATCTTTAATTACGGAAGTGACAGAATAAAGGGTAAAAGTTGTTTACTCTTGCCTAAGTTATGAAGTGGAGAGTACAACTCCAAATGATATGGGGGAAATGGTCACCTGTATCACCTGTCGTCCCGTTGATCGTCGAGTGACTCGAGCGGGTACCAGCAACTCTTGCATTTGTCCCCATCGCGCGTAAGAGTGGCCCAGTGGGTCCTCCTTGCTTTGGGCTTCGCTGAGCACCATAAATTTCTTCTATAGCTTTCGTGAAGAAATCGGACCAACAGGTCGGTGGTCTTCCTGTAGAGCGCTTGATGTCCCGAGGAATCCAGTCGGTAACGACTCTCGTCCATCGGTTGTCGTTGAAGCACATCACGTGTCCGACCCACCTTATTTTTGATATCCTGGCGTGTAGATAGGCGTCCCTTATTTTCGATCATTGACGTTGGTCGCAACTTCGGATCCTTTTCTCATTTTCGACATACGGGATACTCCTAGCATCGACCTTTGGACTGCGCGTTCGATAACGCCAAGTGATTTTTCATCCTGCTTACGTAGCGACCAGGTTTCTGCTGCATACGTCAGGGCAGAGATGTTTGTCGAGTTGAAAAGGTGGGCACGGAGTCGGATGTTCTTTGTCCTCTTCACTACATCTTCGATGCTCTCAAACGTTCCCCAAGCCGCTCGTTTCCTCCTGCTCAACTCTGGAGCTAGGTCGTTCATCATGTTGATTTCACGACCTAAATAGACGTAACTGGAGCATCCGGAGATTCTGGTTCCGTTGAGAGTGAATGGGGTATTCGAAACCCATCCGTTCCTCATGAACATCGTTTTCGTTAGATTTAGTGAAAAACCAATCTTTCCACAGGCGTAATTGAAATCGGTCTACATATGTTCCGTTTGGCTGATGTTTGGTGTTACGAGAACGATATCGTCAGCAAACCGAAGATGGTTTGATTGTCGACCGTCAATTTTCACTCCCATTTCATCCCATTCTAATGTTCGCATGACGTTTTGTAGGATGGCAGTAAATAGTTTTGGCGCAACTGCATCGCCTTGACGAACCCCTCTTCTTACGTCAATGGTGATATTATACCTTTCCTTTAAGTGCTTCATTAAGACCACGCTCAAATTTCAATAAATCCTTCCATTATTATTTGAGCCAACATGTCATGTGGTCTGGTAAGGGCTCTTGTACAGCCCGATACACGTGTTTCGTCTTTACAGACTCGTCAGTCGGACAGAACCCGTCGTCTTTCGATATTTTTGAAATCAGTTCTCTCGGGAGCTCTGCTACCTTACATAGAGATATCGAAGACGTACGTTTTACACTCTATGTCAAGCAAAATTTTCACCTAACACAGTGTGTTTTCGCACTTGATTGCTAGCTGGCTTTATCATATTATACCTTTCCTTCGAGTGTCTTATTAAGACCACGCTTAAATTTTTTTTTAGGGAGCAGAGCTCCCGAGAGAACTGACTTCAAAAATATCGAAAGACGACAGGTTCTGCCCGACTGACGAGTCTGTAAAGACGAAGCACGTGTATCGGGCTGTACAAGAGCCCTTACCAGATCACATGACATGTTGGCTCAAATAATAATGAAAGAATGGTGATATTGTTGTAGAATGGAGATATTTTGGTCATGTAATATTCATAAGGCTCACGAAGGATCATTATGTACCGAGTAGGAACGCCGTGGTTGTCCAGAGCCTCTATAACCGCTTCTATTTCCACTGAATCAAAGGCTTTCTTCAGACTGATGAAAGTGAGACAGAGTGGTTGTTTGTACTCTCGTGAAACTTCGATGAGTCTTATAATCGTGTGGATGTGGTCCATGGTGCTAAATCCTTTTCGGAACCCTGCTTGTTCGCATAACTGTCCTTCGTCCAGTGTTCTGTCAATCCTGTTTAGAATGACTCGAGTAAAGAGTTTATAGACAACGGACAGCAAACAAATTGGGCGATAATTGCTCATGTTGTGAAGGTCTCCCTTTTTGAACAACAATACGATCTTGCTGGTTTTCCATTGAATATGGACCTTGCGTTCAGCTTCTGCCATAATTGCTGCCCTTCTCTCTTTGAGATCTTCTTTTATCGCTCCTCTGCAGCGTTTCGCAAATTCGGACGTAAAGTTTTGGTTGCTTGTAGCTCGTGTGATTCCACGTTGACGTATTAGCTCGAGTGTCTGCGGAGACAAGCGTCTCTTCGTGACCTTAGGACTCTCGTTTTTCTTAGCACTAACATGAAGATATTCAACGAGTCGATCGTATTCTTCGTCGATGTTGTCGACAACGGTATCTTCCCAAGAGCCGACTTATGATTTCAATACATCTCAGTTTATGGTAGTTCTGGGACTTCGTTGTTTGAATTTAGCGGCTTTCTCTCCTCTCCTCGAAAATCGGAACGTGGCACGAAGGAGGCGATGGTCTGGTCCCGTGTAGAACTTGTGAACAACAGTGACATCAGTCAGGCAAAAGCTTCGATTTACTAAGATCTGGTCTATTTCGTTATGCTACTCTCCATTGAGGTACTCCCACGTCCATCGCTGAGAGAGAAACTTTTGAAATTGCGAGTTACCATGGATGGTTTAAGTCGTCATGATAAACTCAGACAGCCTCTCACCGTGTTCATTCCATTCTAGGTGGTTCCCTATGTAACGTTCTTCAAACGTTCTTCTAAGTGCAACTGTTGCGTTGAAATCTCCGAAAATGATCTTGAAGAATGTATGATCTTCACTGAAGAATTTTTCGAAATCCTCATAGAACGCTTCGACTTCGTCTTCGTCATAGCTTGATGTTGGTGCGTAAGCAACGAAGATTGTCAAAGCAGGTATAGAACCACGTCGTTTCAACCCTGGTCTTGCGGTACGGGTTATTAGTTGTTCAAACGAATCAGTCCACGGTCAAGTTCGATTTGACGCGAACGCCAACGCCGCCGACACCTCTGCGATCTTATCTTCCAAGGAGCGGTTCTTCTCCGGTGTCATAAACAGCGTGAAAAGGATGGCGCCTTCTCGTCTCAGTCAAGCCAATGACATCTTACCTTATTCCCCTTGCTTGGATCAATAGATCTTCTACGGCGGATTCGTGAGCAAGGGTTCTTGCATTGTAGGTACAGATCGTCATTTTGGTCCGTTTCGATCTTGGCAGCCTAATTTGGCCCTGAGATTTTAGCAGCCTCTCCGTACTCGTCCTACCTGG